TTAATAAAGAAACATGCCCTCCCCCACCCCCCACTTTGAGATCATTCAAAACCAAATAAATTAGACACACTAGGCGAAATTAAGTTGAATGGCAGCAAGGGCCGGCCTAGAGACTTAGACGTACGCTCCGACCTCACCGGAAGTCGATGCAGAACGGACGCTAAGACTTAGAAATACGTAGGGTTTTTCAATGGAGTTATGCCCGATACCAAGAAGAACAAAAGCGTTTACCGAGTGGTGGAGCGGGAAGCATTCAATGCTCAAATTAGCGACTATTGATTGATAAAGAAACATGCCCTCCCCCCACCCCCCTACATACGTAGCACGAGTGTCTCAATAGGAGGTCCTGGTGGGATGTCCCCATCAGTTGCTCAGGGCCAGACTGGAGTCGCATTCGGTAGTAATGGGGGACCTCCCAGCTGGGACATCCCGCGTCCCAACTAGGTCGTACTCGGGATGTTTTTAGGACTAAGGCTTGTCGACTGGGTTGCCACTGTCCGGTCGAAAGTACAAACCATAAGGACTTACCTCGGCACCGAGTCGCCGCCGGCGGGCGTCCTGTTCGCGTGGGGCAGGCCCTCCAAGATCGCGGCGCGCTCCGGCGCGCCGGAAGGGCCCTACCGAAAAGGGCCGTGAGCTCAGCGGCGCTTCGTCGTACGGACTTCGGACCATGACTAAAGTCAATTGCAAGGTGTTTCCTTTCATCTGAGGCCCAAACCTCATCGATTTTCGATTTGACCCTTCGTTTTGAAACGGGCTAGCCTAGGTAGATGTATGCCAGGCGCGTCGCAGCGCGACAGTGTTTCGTGAGATACCGCGAAGCCTGTTACGCGAGACGTGGTCTGGCGTACGTCTACCTAGTTTATTTTAAGACTTACCTGAGTATAACTTTCCTTTAGTTATGCGTACCGTGCCGCCTATTTGCCCTCAAGCAGGGTTGGCGGCTGGAGAGCAAACCCAGATCAAACCACCAACTCATGGAGGACACCGCCCGGAAAGGGAGGAAGTTGTGTTTACGATGGGGGCGTAACCTACAGTGTGTCCGGCGCATCTGCCGCATCGAGGAGTGCCGGTGTCCAACAAGGGGCCAGGAGAACCTCCACAATCCGCATGTCCTGGATGGGCTTGTGCTATAAAATTGAAAACACCGAATAGGGATATTGCCACAAGATTTACTAAATTCCTTTGCCTTGATATCGCTTTTCTTAAAATTTCTCTGACAAGGAGGTGTAGATAGACAAACAAAAGAGAGCAATGTAAACACCTGTATTGACAGAGCAATAAACCTAATTTTTCCAACTAAACAAAACAAAACAAGTCTCTGAATCCGAAGAAGTGTCTACATTCTGAGTCCCCGTGCGCGTGGATGAGCACTCCCACGGTTCCGGTACAGCACATCACGTAGAGTGCGCCGAACCACTGGGCGTAGGGGCGCCTCACACTCGAACAGCCGATGATGCAGCCGGCGACGGCGACGGTGACGGCGTCGACGCTCTGATGCAGGGGCAGCAGGAACAGGCGTGCGAGGGCGGCGACGATCTTGTCCTTCCCCAGCACGGCGCGGCGGTTCACGGCGTCGGCAAGGGCGACGCGGTGGGTTAGAGGGCTGTGTTGCAGCCAAAGCCCTACCAGCACGGGCGTCGTCTCGAAGCCCCTGCAGGGCGAAGTGCAGATCGTTCGGGGCCAGGTCACGCCCCGCACTGCGCCCATCCTCACGCCGGCGCTCTGCTGGAGGGTCGTTTGCTCGGTGCGGGGTCATCCGCGGGTGTGCTTCTACCAGCTCGACGACGTTCGGGATGGGGGAGATGAGCCGCGGCGGGGCCTCGATGTACACCGCTCGGGACCACAGCTTTTGATTCCCGTCGACAAAAACGTGGGCCACGTACTCGTACGCCATGTTGCCTCTGGTTCGCGCCACTCTCTGATTGTTAAGGTGGAAATAAAAGAAGGCAGACAGGGGGGCAGTGCGACAGGCATGGGCAGCCGTGTGCCCTGCGCTCAGGTTGCCCTGGCGGCGCACGGTGCTGCATTTTACATATAATGATGGTCAGGTCCTGAAAGTTCCTCCTGGGGACGTTCTTTCCGGGATGTGACAATGACCTCCCACCCAGAACGTACTGGTGGGAGGTGATTGTCTTCTGCTCAGGGTCTAAAAAATGTTGCATTCTGTAGTACTGTAGGACGTCTTGGCTGGGACGTCCCATATCCCAACCGGGTTGTACCAGGGATGTGTTCTGAACTATATTTTGTTGACTGGGTAGCGAGTCATCAGCATTTCGTATCTTCAAAAGAGAGGTTATTGCGCAGTTGCGTAGTAAAGAAATCGTCCGTGTGAGTTATCAAGGTTTCAGATCAAGTTGAAACTTACAGTGGACCTTCGTTAAAGTAAGACCTTTCGATAGGTATGCGTGTTTTCCTGGTAGGTGAAGTAGTCCTCCCACATTAACTTGACAAAGTCAGCCGAGCAGCCGGTGGGCCGAGCGGCGGCCCGCGAGCGAGCCGAACTCGAGCCGCTGCGTAGTTAAAGAACATAAACTGTAAACTTAC